TTTGGATCGACCCAGCTCTGGCCACTGTGCCATTTGGGGAGTGAACCAGCAGATGGAAGACCTCTCTCCCCTTCTCTGTTTCTCCCTCTCTCTGTAACTCTTTCAAATAAATAAAATAAATAAAAAAAAAAAAAGATTAAGATGCTAGGTGGTATGGATTGGGAATGAAAAAAAATGGATTTGGAAGCTATGGAGTGGAGAAAAACAAAGTGTGCAGATGAATACAACTGAAGGCAAACTCTAAGAGTCGCTCTGGATTCCTGCTGGCTCTGTAATTTCTGATTTCATTCAGTATCCTAGAACATACCCTCCCTGCCTTTGGGTTCTACAGCCTTAGCGCAAACTCCTTTTTCTCAGAGGCTTACAAAGGGCAGGGGGGTAGAAGAGATCCAAGCTGGTACAAAATATAAGGGTACAAACTGTTTATAGATTCCTGCAATACTAAAAAGTAGACCAGCTTTTACTTGATAACGTTTTAAATTCTCTAAAATGCTAGTGATGGAGTGGGTGTTTAGCCTGGTAGTTAAGACACACTGGTGCCTGGGTTTGCTTCCCGGCTCCAGGTCTTGGCTCCAGCTTCTGGCCAATGCATATCCTAGGAAGGAGCAGTGATGGGCTCCTAACACCTAAGAGGGAGACATCAACTAAGTTCCCAGCTCAGGGAACTGTTCCCAGTCCTGGTCATTGTGGATGTCTGTGGAAAGAATCAGTGGATGGGAGCTTTGTCTCAAAATACACAAAATGTTAGTGATGAAGTATTGTACCCTGGGGCCAGCACTGTGACATGAGTGCTTGTTCAAGTCCCCGTTGCTCCACTTCCGATCCAGCTCCCAGCTAATGCATCTGGGAAAGCGGCAGAAAGGCCGCAGCTACCTATGTGGGAGACCCAGATGGAGAGTCAGGCTCCTGGCTTTGGCCTGGCCCAGCCCAGGTTGTTGTAGCTAATTGAGGAGCGAACCAGAGATGGAAAATCTCTTTGAGAGATTTATTTCAAATAAATCTTAAAAGAAAAAAAAAAATAAGGAATATTGTATCCTGCCCTCCTCCACATACTCTGCTACATGACCCAGTCAAGTTCTATTAGCAAAGAACCTTAAATATAACCAAAACTAATGATCATGGTCCAACCAGTGCTCTAAAGGGAAAAGAATAAAAAATCAAAGTTGATAAGCATTCCTACTTCTTCTGAAATTATTTTATTAATAATCAATTATAATGATTTTAATTTATTTAAATATGATCAATATAATTACATAAAATTATTTACAAAATATTTATAAAATATTTATTTAAATATAATTAATTAGTTATTAATTCAAGTAAAGAAAATTCCTTTTAAATAAAGATTAAAGGAAAAAGTAGAATATAACTTTTTTTTTTTGATTTAAGGTTCCCACCTTTGTTAAGGGAAGTGATGTGTGGTGGGTCACCAAATGTACAATTATTATGAGGACTAAGCCATCAGCATTATACAGCCCAATAAAGACGTATTAAAGTATTCCTACATATTAAGCCATTGGACCTCAACATCCTGGATATAAAATCAGTCAGAAAGCAGAACTAAAACATCAGACTCATTTCATAAAGGCTTGTAGGGAAAAATTCACACATGAACAATTATAAAAATGTGGCTATACAAATTCAAAACATAGATTTGATTCACAAAGAGAAGTTACTGGTTCATATAATTTTGACTGGCCACCCCAGAATTTCAAAGTTCTTACCTGAATCAAGAAAGCACAAGGATCTGCATGTGACAATAACTCATACCTGGTATTATCCTACTCTCTGAACTAATGTGAGGCCCATTAGGCCTGTCCTAAGTTTGAGATTTGTGGTCAGAGTAACCATCCCAATGTACACCATTGTTGATTAATCTATCTTTCCACTGCCTGTGACCAACACTGTCTACTGAGCACTTTCAATGTTCAAAGCACATTCTAGGCAATGCAAACACAATGGTGATTAACACTGATACAGGCCCTGAATTCTCAAAACCAGGGAACCCTTGGAAACAAGTTATTTCAATAAGGTGTTTATAGTAACTCTCAGGATGCACAGTATCCTACAGTAACAGGGAGTAGAGAGTATCCTGTGGTACCTACCCCAATCCAGTTCTCAAAAGAAAAGTAACATTTAGCCAGGGAAAGCAGACGTGGGATGGGAGGGAGAAGGGTACAAAACAAACAAGAGATGCGGACAGACAAGTTCAAAATCCAAAAGTGAAACGGGGTTCAGTATGCTGAGGGGGCACACAGCAACCAAGTCTGAAGGCTAGGCAGGGGCATGGCTGAGAAGGGCCTCCGAAACCTTTTCAAAATGTCCAGGTCAGATATTAAGCCCAACAGGAAGTCACTGAAGGAGCTGGTTCCAGTGCGGTGAATGGAAGAGAAGCAAGACTGGAGGCAGAGACCAGTTAGCAGGCTCTTCCACTCACCCAGGAAAGATCTTAAGTAATCTGAATTGTGACAGCAGCAGTGGGAAGGAAGATCTCAGGCCACATGAAAGAGACGTTTAAGAGCTAGAACGGATAAGGTATAGTGAGTGGCAGAATGCAGATCCTGAGAGAGAAAGAAGGCTAAGTGGGTGGTCATCAAAACATGAGCATGACACACTCACAAGAACCAGGCCAGTACAAAAGTTTTCTGATATGAAAGAAACAGTCCCCACCCGCACTAATACAGTAGCCTCCATCCACATGAAGCTACTGAGCCCAAGGAATACAACACTGAGAAACTGAACTTCGTAACTCTATGATTTTAGTTAACTAATTAATTAGAAGGGCAGGGAGAGATTTTTCATCTACTGGCTCACCCTCCAAATACCTGTACAAGAGCCCGGGTTGAGCCAGGCCAAATATCCGGATCTCCTACATGTGTGGTAGGAACCCAAGTACCTGAGCCATCATCTGCTGCCTCCCACCATGTATCAGCAGGAAGCTAGGAATGGAACCAGGCACTGTGATGCGGGATGCAGCGCCCCAGGCAGAGTCCGAGGGCTGTGGCAAGTGCCCATTCCTACCCAGATTTAAATAGCTAGTGGTCACTCCTGTATTGGACAGCACAACTCCAGATCACTGAAGACACCTAACCTAAACACACAACAGGGTTAGGAAGTTTATGTGGAAACATGTGACAAGGACAAGGATCACCAAAAAAAAAAAAAAAAAAAAAAAAATTCTCAGACTCGCTGGAAAGATGTCCTACGTGAAAGAAGAAATTTCATTACTTTTCCGGGCCGGTGCGGTGGCGCAGCAGGTTAACGCCCTGGCCTGAAGTGCCGGAAATTCCATGTGGGCTACAGTTCGAGTCCTAGCTGCTCCACTTCCAGTCCAGCTCTCTGCTGTGGCCTGGGAAAGCAGTAGAAGATGGCCCAAGTCCTTGGGCCCTACACCCCCGTGGGAGACCCAGAAGAAGCTCCTGGCTTCGGCTCAGTGCAGCTCCAACTGTTACAGCCAACTGGGGAGTGAACCATCGGATGGAAGACCTCTCTGCCTCTCCTCTCTCTATGTAACTCTGACTTTCAAATAAATATTTTTTTAAGAAAAGAAACTTCATTACTTCTCTATAAGACACAACCTATATGGAGTAAGACATTCTGGGGAGAAACACACCAGAAAGATTCAGGCTGCGACAAAAATCCCCCAAACATATCCAGTATGACTAGAGTGTATTTCTCATAAATAAATTTTCTAATAACAGCAACTGGAACTTAGCCCAATACGCACCAAACCCTCTTACTTTGGAAGGGCTTTCCTTAAAAGTTATCTACGCACCTGCACCTTCTTAACCCAACAATGCTGCAGTTTAACCTGCACTTGACATTTCGGGGCCGTACTTTGCATATCGGTCGTCAGCTCCAGCGATCCGGACGCTGAACAGCAAATGACCAGGGCTTCGTGGAGGAATACATCCACCCTGTTCTCAGAGAAGCCCGGACACTGCATTTGCCCAGTTTTGTTTTGCAATATAGACACAGCTTTAATTTCCACTCGTTCTCAGGGTGTCCAGTGCACTGGGCTACACGCCGGGCGCCTGACTCAGGTCTCCTAGTCCCAGCCTGGGAAGCCAGGGAACTAAGTTGGGTACAATCACGAAGAGCTGCTTAGTGGGCACCGAGCCCCTCCAGCACTGTGCGCCAGCGGCTCCGGCTGCTCAGGACTGCAGTTCTCTGCGAGTCTCTCCTCCCAGTACCCCACGTCTGAGCGAGCCGAGACCACGCTCAGCTCTCGGTCACCCCAGGCAAGCCAGGGGCGGCGACCCAACGCAGGGGTTCTGGCGGGGTCTTGGCCCACCACCGCCAGAGTGCGAGCAATGCCGGGGAAGGAGGGAGGGGCCGGCAAGCCCAGTGAACCAAAACCGAATCTCGAGTTTTCTCCTTGTACCGGAAGCAGCAAAGCAGCAGGAGCAGTAGCAACTAAAGTTTGCTAAGCTCGCCGGCTGCGTTCCCTACGCAGAGAGGCACTTCGGGGGCTCCGGCACGGGGCCGGAGGCAGACCAGACGGGTTCAAATCCACCCCAACAGCAGCAAGACGCAGCCACCCCGGGAGCTGCCCTCCTGCGCGGCGGAGGTGTGCCAGCCAGGAGTTGCGGCAACTTCTGTGCAAGCCAGCGCGCACCGCCCGGCACACCGGAAGTTTTGAAATATCCTGAAGCTCCCCACCGGCGAGCTCCGCCGGCCTCCCCGAGGCTCCAGCCCCGCGCCCGGCGCGTGCCACGCGAGGCTCCGGCCCCGGCGGCGCCCCAGACGGCAGCCAGGCCGTCCACCACGGCCAGCCCGCGCGACCTCACCTTGGCCGCCCGCGAGCGGCGAATCGGGCAGGTGGGAGGCACCTGCAGCCGCGGCCCGCCGGGGGCCGTCCCAGCTCGGCCGGTGCAGGCCGGCGCCGCCTGTCGCCGCGCGAGCCCTCTGGGCGGTCCCGCGTGGGGACCCGCGCGGCGGGGACGGGCCCCGGAGGGCTTCTGCAAACTCGACAGCCCGCCCCCGGCGCCGCCACTCACCGAAGAAGCCTTGCACGATCCCGAGCGGGTGGTTGAGCCAGTCCTCCCCACAGGGCATCTCGCCGAGGGCCGCGGCCGGGGCGGCAGCGGCGGCGGCGGCGGCGACGGGGATCCGCGGGCCGAGCGGCCGGCGCCCAGCTCCTCCTCAGGAGCTCGGCCGCTCCTCGCCCCGAGCCCGCCCACGCACGACGAGCCGCGGGGCGCACACCGCCCGGCCTCCCTGCGCCTTCCGGAGCGGCGGCGGCGGCGGACGCGGAGGCGCAGGCGACCGGCAGGCGCGGCGCGCGCGGGCCCCTAGCCTCCACTTCGCACAATGGCGGGAAACAGCCGCCGCCGACCGCGCTGCCTGCTCCTGGGTGGAGCTCGCGCGGGGAGGGGCGGCGGCGGCGGCGCGCGGCGCGTCCCCGCGCGGCGAGGGGGCGGGGCGGGCGGGGCCGCGGCGCGGCGGCCGCCATCTTGGAGTCGGGCGAGGGAAGGGCGGGCTGCGGAGGCGGGCGCGTGGCGAGCCCGCGTGGCGCCGCGGGCCGGGTGCGGGCGTGCCGGGGCCTCGGACTGCCCCTCAGTCGTTGAACGTGCGAGTTCTCGCGCCGCAGCCGAAATCGCACGCTCTGAGAGACCCCAGCGTCTTCCCCGGGCGGCCTTGGAGCGTCGAAACAGCCCTTGGTCGCCCACCACCTTTGCGTGGATTTTTTTTTTTTTTTTTTTGCTCTCGGTAACGCCTCTCTGGTGACTTCCCTTGGCTGGATGAGGTCTTCCCGCGGGAGGTACACATCCAGGCCCCGGGGTGCGTGTTGGGACCCCGGCCCCGTTCCCTGCGGTGGAGGCGCGGCGCAGGGCCTGAAGGACTGTCGGGCGCCCCGGGCATCCCCGCCGGCGCAGCCGCGCCCCAGTATTTGTGCATGAACTTGGGGAGGCGGAGCGCGCGACCATCCGCTAGTTACCCCCAGGTGCTAGTTACACCCCAGGTCCGCTTGCCTGGGGCCGGGCCGGGCACGAACGGGGGCTGAGGCTCTCGATTCAGGCGTCCCAGGTGAGCGGCGGGGCCCGGTCAGGTGCGCCGTGGCCTGTGCCTCCCAAGGTGTGCAGGGACGTGGCTGGAGCCGTGCCCTCCGCAGCGGCCCGCACCCCACAAGGGTGTGCCAGGATCGGCCCGCACCCCACAAGGGTGTGCCGGGATCCCCTCGGAAGGAAGGTGGGGAGGTCGTTTGCTGGAGGACGGGAGATACTGAGTTGGCCCGTGAGGTGGTGTTCCCCAGGACCTGGAGTGCACCCCAGAAAGCCCCAGCCTTGTCAGCTGAGAGAGAGGCGGGGATCGGCAGGAAATCTACAAAGTGGGGCGCTGAACCCGCGTCTCAGCGCTGCGGGGGAGGAACAGACCTGGGTTATCTGGGAGCAGGTGCAGAGCGACAGCAAGGGAGGAGCCACTCGAAGAGGGGGCTTAGCATTTGGGGTTTACATAACGCCTTTGTCAAAGAAAAATAAATCTGTAAACAAATTACAAGACAAAAGAAAGGCTTTCCAGGCTAATGGCCGATGCAGGTTCAAGTTTGTCTCTTAGATTCTCCTGGGGCCACCCCTGGACTGATCAGCGTCGCAGCTGTCCAGCGGCTAACTTTTAGCCTTCCTGGTTGAGAAGGAAGGAGGGAACACTTTTGAAAATTTATGCCCTGTGTTTTGGCAAAGCGCAGGAGAGCAGGGAGCTTTTCCGCATCTTCTCAATGGCCTTTAGCACAAAATGATCCTAGGCCAAAGTGGTGTGTTGTGGTGTGACATTCCGGTTTACTCCAGGGTAGCACAGGGTGAGGGGTTTCTCTTGGCGACTTCATCCGTTGGTGTTCTGGGTTGTATGTTTCACTCTTGTGAGTGGCCAAGTCCTGAACTCTCCCACTGCTAATACTTTTTTTTTTTTTTTTGACAGAGTGGACAGTGAGAGAGAGACAGAGAGAAAGGTCTTCCTTTGCCGTTGGTTCACCCTCCAATGGCCGCCGCGGCCGCGGCCGGCGCACCGCGCTGATCCGATGGCAGGAGCCAGGTGCTTTTCCTGGTCTCCCATGGGGTGCAGGGCCCAAGCACTTGGACCATCCTCCACTGCACTCCCTGGCCACAGCAGAGGGCTGGCCTGGAAGAGGGGCAACCGGGACAGAATCCGGCGCCCCGACTGGGACTAGAACCCGGTGTGCCGGCACCGCTAGGCGGAGGATTAGCCTAGTGAGCCGCGGCGCCGGCCTTGCTACTACATTCTTTCATTTAGCAGTGTTGCCAGGTCCTTGGTGTTGGTAAAATGGTGCCATATTCCTAGTCCAGCCTGGCTTACTAGAAGTCAGGTGACCCAATAGCCCAATCACAAGTGTCAGCTCCACCCCACTCTAATGGGTTTGCCACTCCCTCTCCCTTACTTCTGCAAAGCTGTGTAAGACCTGGTCTCCCAGGACGGGCTGCTGTTCCCTCTGTGCACGGGGAGGCAGCCCGTCGGGTTTCCCACACTCGACATTAACCTTTTCCCTTACTCAGGTGTTTGGTGTGTTTTGTGGTGGCCTTTCCTTTCACTTGGTATTGAATAGGGAAATCACATCTTAGCTTCTTGTGAGGCACAAGTTAAAATGATGACATGAAATGTCTGATTTTGAATCCTTCAATTTCAGATTTGCTTTGAATTGCAGCGGTATGATGTGTGTGTGTGAAACATTTTCCTTCTGTCCTTCTGAGTTCTTGGCAGAGGCCTCTGTAACAAAAGGAAAATCCACAAGAGGAAGGCGTACAGTTTATGTGCCGTGAGTTTTGTAAGTGTTACTGAGGAGTGGGGGACCCGGAAGAAGCTCCTGGCTCCTGGCTTCAGATTGGTGCGACTCCAGCCTTTGCAGCCAACTGGGGAGTGAACCAGCGCATGGAAGGCTCTCTGCCTCGCCTTCTCTCTCTGTGTAACTCTGACTTTCAAATAAATAAATAAATCTTGGCCGGCGCCGTGGCTCAATAGGCTAATCCTCCACCTTGCGGCGCCGGCACACCGGGTTCTAGTCCCGGTCGGGGCGCCGGATTCTGTCCCGGTTGCCCCTCTTCCAGGCCAGCTCTCTGCTATGGCCAGGGAGTGCAGTGGAGGATGGCCCAGGTGCTTGGGCCCTGCACCCCATGGGAGACCAGGAAAAGCACCTGGCTCCTGGCTCCTGCCATCGGATCAGCGCGGTGCGCCGGCTGCAGCGGCGGCCATTGGAGGGTGAACCAACGGCAAAGGAAGACCTTTCTCTCTCTGTCTCTCTCTCTCACTGTCCACTCTGCCTGTCAAAAAAAAAAAAAAAAATCTTAAAAGAAAAAAAAAAGAGGTACAGGAGCTAAGAGGTTCAGCCGCAGTCTCTGTACCTTAGCCTATATGCCAATTCAGCATAGCCACTTTCCCATGATGCACCTCGAGCCTCTACCATGAATAAGATACCACAGAGCTGTCCCAGAGACCACCGGGTGCACTGAATGCCACCCAAACCCTACCATGTGTTTGCATATTCATTTAGGACACCACCCTGTGCCCAATAAATGGGACAGATATATTGAGGTGAGTGCATTTCTCTCCTCATATACTTTCTTGTTGATCTGTTGATCTCTATTTTTTTTTTTTGATTTATTTTTTTTTATTTGAAAGACAGAGTTATAGAGAGAGGTAGAGACAGAGAGAGGTCTTCCATCCGCTGGTTCACTCCCCAGATGGCTACAATGGCCAGAGCTGCGCCAGTCCGAAGCCAGGAGCCAGGAGCTTCTTCCAGGTCTCCCACGCGGATGCAGGAGCCCAAGGACTTGGGCCATCTTTTACTGCTTTCCCAGGCCGTAGCAGAGAGATGGATTGGAAGTGAAACATCCGGGTCTCGAACCAGTGCCCATATGGGATGCTGGAGCTTCAGGCCAGGGCTTTAACCCACTGCACCACAGTGCCAGCCCTTGTTGATCTCTAAATAAATCCTCCTCTGATTTTTGCACATTAAGCCCCTGCTTTGAATTCTGTCATTAGAGACAGACCTTGGAATAAATCCAGCTGTTGGAGCCCTTGCCCACAGCAGCAGGACCAGCGTGGGAGCTGAAAGCGGTGAACTGGGGAAGCAGGAAGGCCAGTGCACGATCGCCCTCCTCTTCAGAGCACAGGAGGCTCCTTTCCTCTGGGCAGGGAGAGGGCGCCTCCCATGGAAGGTTTTGACCTACTTTGGGGGAAGGCCAGCAAGTCCTTTGGGGCACCTGCCAACCTCAGATTCCTTCCACTGGTTGGTGTAGCTTGTCCTGACCCCTGCACAAGGAACGTTTCAACTTTTGGCTTCTCCTTCTATACTTAGTGATCTATCAGACCAACAGTTGCTCAGGTTTTCTATCAAGAGACACTGTAATCCTTTTGAAATGTAACCATTGTATAATGCAAAACATTTCACCCTGTACTTTTTTTTTTTTTTATTTTTCCCCCAAAGAAAGCTTTTATTTAAGGAATACAGACTTCATGCATTTCATAAGTACAACTTTAGGAATGTAGTGATTCTTCCCACCATACCTGCCCCCCAACCCACTCTCCCACCCCTCCTCCTCCTCCCTCTCCCATTCCCAGTCCCATTCTCCACTAAGATCCGTTTTCAACTAACTTTGTACACAGCAGACCAACTCTGCACTAACTAAAGAGTTCAGCAATTTGCACGGTAAAACAAACTAAAACTCTTCCTCAATAGTTGAGAAAAGGGCTGTTCAAAGTCATTGCATCTTGAAATTAATTTCACTTCTTTTTTTTTTTCTTTTTTAGAAACTTAATTAACTTTATGGCCGGCGCCGCGGCTCACTAGGCTAATCCTCTGCCTTGCGGCGCCAGCACACCTGGTTCTAGTCCCGGTCAGGGAGCCGGATTCTGTCCCGGTTGCCCCTCTTCCAGGCCAGCTCTCTGCTGTGGCCAGGGAGTGCAGTGGAGGATGGCCCAGGTGCTTGGGCCCTGCACCCCACAGGAGACCAGGATAAGTACCTGGCTCCTGCCATTGGATCAGCGCGGTGCGCAGGCCACAGCGCGCTGGCCGCAGCGGCCATTGGAGGGTGAACCAACGGCAAAAGGAAGACCTTTCTCTCTGTCTCTCTCTCTCACTGTCCACTCTGCCTGTCAAAAAAAAAAAAAAAAAAGAAAAAAAGAAAATTAACTTTAAGGAAACACCCAAGAATGATACATCTTTTGGGAGCGCTTAGACATAGTCATAATAAAA